TTAGATGTAGTTAAATTTTCTTTCTTTTTTAGCTTCAAGATACTAATTTAATTTAATTTCTATTAGTAAAATTGCCTATATTAATATTTTATTTTGTATTTTTTAATTTTTATTTTAATCATAAACAAATATTTTTTAATTATTTTAAACACATTATATCTGAATATTGTAGCAATATTTTCATTGTCATATTATTTCTTTATGTAAATTTTCTTTCTTTTTTATTTTTAATATAAAAATTTAATTTTTAATTTTTATTAGTAAAATTACCTATATAAATTTATTTTTATTTCTAAATTTTATTTTTTTATTTTATTTTTCGTAAATAAGACTTCAATTTTGTGGTATTATCCATAGTTTGAGTATTCTCGTCATAGTTTAAGAACTTTCTAATCTCAAATTCAAATAGTCTCTCCCTTTCATTTCGAATAGTAAACTTTTAATAACTTAACGTAATTTTGCTATTTTTTAATCCGATATATAGTCTTATTATGTTTTATGTGGCTTTTCATTAATTTGTAACTTTATTTAATATCATTATCAACTACTATTCTTTAATATAATATAGATAAATATATAATTTCTTAATCATAAAATAAATATTCATTTTGATTTAAAAATATTGCTTGAAAATTTTAAATTTTTATAATATTTTTAAGTATTGTATATTTTTTTTATTTTCTAAAATTATGATTTATAAATATCTGTGCATTATCTCTAATTTATTTTTATTATTCAATATTTTAAGTTTTTGATTTTGTATATTAGACTTGAGTTACGTGGACTTACCCATATTATGACTTTTCTTATCACAATATAAAAGACTTTTTTATCTCAAATTTAAATTAGTTTTACCCTTTTTCTCTATGATAAAAAATCTGAATTTTATTTTTTTCTCTATTTAGTCTTTATTTTTGTCATTATATTATTCAATTCTTAATATTATTACATTATCATGTGAATTTTTATTAGCTTGTTCGAATTTAATATATATTTCAATCACACTCATTCTAATATAATATAGATAAAAATTAAATAACTTTCTCATCTCAAATTCAAATATTTTTTATCATTCTATTTTCTAAATTGGATCGCATTTTCAAAAATTTATGTTATACTTTCAAACTTAAACTAACTGCACTCAATTCAAATATTAATCATAAAAATATATTTTCTTAATTGTTTGAACACATTATATCTAAATATTGTAGTAATATTTACGTATAAAATATTTATTTTCCCGATTTATCAATATTAATATAAATTTATTATTCTTGTTATTAAAATATTTTTTACTAATTCTTTAATTTTTTTCTTACCTTATAAATAATTTGTATACTTTTTATAAGAACTTATTTTGCTGCTTGAATTTATTAAATTTTTAAACTCAATAAATCGTTAATATCTTAAGTAAATTTTATTTTTATTTTATATTTTAACTTACTTCAAAATATAAATAGTCATAGGTTATCTCAATTTACGTATCTCTATATTTTTTATATTTTCCTATTATAGTTTTTTTAATTAATTTTTTATCTCCATATTTCTAGCTAATATAGAAGAAAATCTATGAGTAGATCAATATATAGATACAATATATATATATATATATATATTAGATTTGTCTAAGATCTACTTAGATTATGTATAAGATTCATTAAACTACTTCCATTAAGTATGCTTTCATTTATAATTTTTAATTATCTAAATGTTGTAGTAATATTTACGTATAAAATATTTATTTTCCCTATTTATCAGTATTAATATGACTTTATTATTCTTGTTATTAAAATATTTTTTACTAATTCTTTAATTTTTTTCTTACCTTATAAATAATTTGTATACTTTTTATAAGAGCTTATTTTGCTGCTTGAATTTATTAAATTTTTAAACTCAATAAATCGTTAATATCTTAAGTAAATTTTATTTTTATTTTATATTTTAACTTACTTCAAAATATAAATAGTCATAGGTTATCTCAATTTACGTATCTCTATATTTTTTATATTTTCCTATTATAGTTTTTTTAATTAATTTTTTATCTCCATATTTCTAGCTAATATAGAAGAAAATCTATGAGTAGATCAATATATAGATACAATATATATATATATATATATATTAGATTTGTCTAAGATCTACTTAGATTATGTATAAGATTCATTAAACTACTTCCATTAAGTATGCTTTCATTTATAATTTTTAATTATCTAAATGTTGTAGTAATATTTACGTATAAAATATTTATTTTCCCTATTTATCAGTATTAATATGACTTTATTATTCTTGTTATTAAAATATTTTTTACTAATTCTTTAATTTTTTTCTTACCTTATAAATAATTTGTATACTTTTTATAAGAGCTTATTTTGCTGCTTGAATTTATTAAATTTTTAAACTCAATAAATCGTTAATATCTTAAGTAAATTTTATTTTTATTTTATATTTTAACTTACTTCAAAATATAAATAGTCATAGGTTATCTCAATTTACGTATCTCTATATTTTTTATATTTTCCTATTATAGTTTTTTTAATTAATTTTTTATCTCCATATTTCTAGCTAATATAGAAGAAAATCTATGAGTAGATCAATATATAGATACAATATATATATATATATATATATTAGATTTGTCTAAGATCTACTTAGATTATGTATAAGATTCATTAAACTACTTCCATTAAGTATGCTTCCATTTATAATTTTTAATTATCTAAATGTTGTAGTAATATTTACGTATAAAATATTTATTTTCCCTATTTATCAGTATTAATATGACTTTATTATTCTTGTTATTAAAATATTTTTTACTAATTCTTTAATTTTTTTCTTACCTTATAAATAATTTGTATACTTTTTATAAGAACTTATTTTGCTGCTTGAATTTATTAAATTTTTAAACTCAATAAATCGTTAATATCTTAAGTAAATTTTATTTTTATTTTATATTTTAACTTACTTCAAAATATAAATAGTCATAGGTTATCTCAATTTACGTATCTCTATATTTTTTATATTTTCCTATTATAGTTTTTTTAATTAATTTTTTATCTCCATATTTCTAGCTAATATAGAAGAAAATCTATGAGTAGATCAATATATAGATACAATATATATATATATATATATATTAGATTTGTCTAAGATCTACTTAGATTATGTATAAGATTCATTAAACTACTTCCATTAAGTATGCTTCCATTTATAATTTTTAATTATTAATGTTGTTCTAAAATTGCCAAATGACTTCATTTTAGCTTGCCACTTGACTTAACCACAATGCATACTACTCTCTTTTTAATATAATATATAATATAGATACATTTTTAATAACAGTTGTTACCGGAGAGCTAACTTTATAAAGAGTATAACATTATGATGATAGTTGTTGTTGTTGTTACTATAAGGTAAAAGAAATTACTATTAAGAGGTGAAATATAACACAAAAATTAGGTTCCAAAAAAATATGCATATTATGGTCATTGTTGTATAAAAGATAATTATTATACAGAGGTCCGATTGCATAAGAAAAACAATGATAGACTTAAAGCTTATATAACATTGGATTTTTATGTATAACTCTGCATTAACCTATTAGTGATGCAAAACATGAATAATATAAATGCAATGTTTTATTTTCTACACAAGGTTTAGCATCAACATTGCGTTTCTAAGTTTTGGAATTAATACTAACATAAGTTGTGGTATGAAATTTGTATTATTTTATACCAAATATAATATTGAATAAGAATGAGAGTATGGATATTCTTATCTGAATAATAGCACCAAAATATCAAAAATATCGTTAAACTAAGTTTTTATTTGATAATGAAATTCTTGCTTAATAACCTTTACAAATTCATAACACAATATACGTTATGAAATAAAATAAAGTGAAAGTAAAGCAAAAAAATTAGATAAAAAACTTAAAGTGAAGAAAATAGTTTGGTGACTAGATTATATTACAATTTTGATGCCTTACAAATGAGTAAAGAAAATCTCCTATTTATAGGAAGAAAGTAGTTTGGTGACTTAGTCCGAAAATAATTAGATTGGTTCATAAATAAGGCCCCCAAGTATTTTCATAATGAATGGACATACAAAATTGACACATAACATTTACAATAGTGTTATAATATTTGCACCATTATTCATCATAACTTTTCTTGTGTAACTATTCGTCAATATAATAGTCCTCACTCAACATTAATTTTTATCCATATTAACTTTCTTTTAAGGGTTTCATACAACTTTTAAGAAAAATAGTCAATACTCTTAACTATAAGTGTATTGTCTAGATTACCTTCCACATCTTCTTAAACATCTTATTTAATTTACATTGCACAAATTAGAATAATAAAGATTATATTTTAAAAGAAATATGATAAATAATGTCTTGTTATTTAAAATTAAATAGTTTTAGATAAGCTTATTTTGTTGAAAGATCTAGTAAATCAACCGTTCTAATTTATGTGATGTTATTTGATTAGATACTTGATTTAAGAAAAAAAATTAAAACTTGTATTCTAAGACAAACATTAAAGGGGTCATTTGGTTGGGAAATAAGTTGTCCCATGATTAATTATCTTGGAATTAGTTATCCTGGGATTGTTATCCCACCATTTCATAAGGATAAAACTAACACTACAATCTGGGGATAACTAATTCGGGGATTAGCTATATCACGATTTTTTCTCAACCAAACATGAGATAAACTGATCTAAAATTTAATATCGGAATTAATTATCTCTTATCCCTCGTACCAAACGAGTCCTAAATATTTTTGTAACTATGAATTATTTCATTTAAAATTAAATTATTTTGAATATAAAGAGATTAAAAAAAAACAAAAAATGGAAAAAATATCTCCTAAATTAGGACATAAATAAATATTTAAGAAAGGGAGAGAATAATACATCTTGTGCTCTTACCTAAAACTACTTTATTGCACCCTCTTTATTACTATGTATATTGTAGTATTTAATAGGATTATTAAATTGCTCTGCGATCTCCCTCCTCTCTCCTGTTACCACTTACCTTCGACGCCTCAAACTCCAACACCTCATAATCTTCTCCATTCTTTTACTCTAAAATATCACGTCTCCCTTCTTTTACTTTACACCTTATTTTTAGTTGTTATAACTAACCCACTTTTGCTTCTTTAATTAATTAATCAATGGACAAACTTAGAAAATCCTTTAAATCTCTTTCCCCTGATAATACTATTAACACTTCCTTACAGTCTGAAGAAGAACTCCAAGTTCTCTTGAACCAAACTGAAAAAGAAGGAAAAACCAATTTTACTATGACTTCTTCTTCCCCTGCTATGGATACATCCGATGCTATGGACGTTATCGTCAAAATTAACACCAGAGAAACCCCAAAAGGTCTTAAAGATACCGAACTTTCCTCTTCTTCAAAATCCCAGTTCAGTAAAAATGGTGGCAACAGCAACAGTAAAACGTGGAGAGATTCCAGTTATGATTTTACAAATGATGATGTTATGAAAGAACAATGGAACAGTAACAAAGATTTTGATTTTGTAACGGAGTCGCCGTTATCTAGAGTTAATGAAGAGAGTCCCAATAACGGTGGTGGCGTTCTTACACCGAGGGATGTTAAGGTTTCGTTTAACGACCACCTTAACGAAACAAAACGACGCCGTTCTAGTGCTAGTGGTGGAGAAGCTGGTGTACAAGATGAAGTTTTGTTATGCAGTTCCACCTCTTCATTCAGGTCAAAATCTAGTCTTTTGAAAACGAAGACAAAATCAAGATTAATGGACCCACCTGAACAAGATCATAAGTCTCAGAAGATGACGATGAAATCTGGGTTTTTAGGAAAAGGTAGTGAAATTGATGAAGAGGATCCTTTTTGGGATGAGGATTTGCCTGAGCAATATAAGAAGATGAAGTTCAGTACATTGAGTGTTCTTCAGTTGGTAAGTTTGATTTTGATTATTGCTGCTTTAATTTGTAGTTTAACAATTCGAGTTTTAAGGGAAAAGAGGATCTTTGAGCTTGAATTGTGGAAATGGGAGTTAATGGTTTTGGTGTTAATTTCTGGGAGATTGGTTTCTGGTTGGTTGATTAGGATTGTGGTTTACTTCATTGAGCGTAATTTTTTGTGGCGAAAGCGGGTTTTATATTTTGTTTATGGATTGAGGAATGCAGTGCAGAACTGTATTTGGTTGAGTTTTGTGTTGATAGCTTGGCAATCTATTTTTGATAAGAAGGTTGAGAGGGTGACCCATGGGAAGGTGTTACCTTACGTGTCTCGCGTTTGGGTGTGTCTTTTGGTTGGTACATTCATTTGGCTGCTGAAAACCCTACTTGTAAAGGTGCTGGCTATGTCGTTTCATGTTACTGCATTCTTTGATCGGATTCAAGAATCTTTGTTTAATCAGTACGTGATTGAAACGTTGTCTGGGCCACCGTTTGTTGAAATTGAGAATGAACAAGAGGAGGAGGAGAAAGTTATGGCCGAGGTGCAGAAGCTTCAGAATGCTGGAGCTACATTGCCTGCTGATCTAAAAGCAGCCATATTACAGAAGAGACCAATTGGAACAGCACGGACTAGTCCCCCATCTGCTATTGCAAGGAGTCCTGTTTTCTCCAGGGTCATGTCGAAGAAGGAAAAGGAAGAAGAAGGGGGTATCACTTTAGATCATCTGCATAGGTTGAATCAGAAGAACATTTCAGCTTGGAATATGAAAAGATTGACAAATATTGTTAGGAAAGGGGTGCTGTCAACTCTGCATGATCAGCTACAGGAATCAACAGATGAGGGTGAATCTGTAGAGATCACAAGTGAAAAACTGGCTAAAGTTGCAGCCAGGAAGATATTTAACAATGTGGCCAAGCCGGGCTCCAAGTAAGTTATTTCCTCTGGAAAACAAAGTTTATTGCTCCTTATTGGAACCAATATACCTTTTAATCTGCCAATATTGTTGCTCTTAAGTTCCTATATTTGGATTTGCATACATTTCTTGCATTATTAATACCTTGTTAATTTTTCAAGCAGCATTAAAGTGGACGAGAAAGAGAGTTTTAGACGTATGCCCATTATTTCATTCTGTATTGTTTTATGCTTGCTCCGTCAGTGCCTTTTGAGTTCTTTTTTTCGGCTTCGCATAGTGGGGGTTGCTTTCATTAGTCCGTGCTTTTAAAGGAGAGTGATGCTCTTGCATATGTAAGCTACATACTGGCATTGCAGCTTTTCTGTTGAAAGTTTTAGTATCTCAGGCTAATGTGCTGAACCTCATTGTGTTGTTCGCTGAGTCAAAATCAGCAAGCCAATGATAAGTGCCTGTTATCCTGAAAACTGGAGCGAAATATTTTGCCTACAAGTCCGTTATATTCCAAGCTTTTATGCTGTTACATCATCCTACTTTTCCTTTATCATTTGCTTACTTAATGCATACTCTGGGATTGCCATCAGGTTCATCTATCTGGAGGATTTTATGCGTTTTATGAGAGAAGATGAGGCTCTGAAAACAATACGCCTCTTTGAAGGTGGAACTGAAGCCAAAGGTGTCAGTAAGCGGGCTTTAAAAACTTGGGTGGTGAGTACAATTTCCCTATATTCTCCATGAAGTTTTGAAAAAGCTTACAGTTTCACTTTTTTCACTTAATAGGAATATGCATTAAAGGAAATGTAGCTATTTATGATCTTCAAACTCATTTCAAGGCATTGTTTACAAAATGAATGCAAGATGTCTTAGTTTCAAAAAACGCATTTTCATTATTTTTACATTGTATTGGTGGATATTGGTGTGTGAAGTAAGAGTATCCAGAGAATCTAATATGGTTGTGTTAGATGAATATAGCTGAATGAATTTGAACTAAAAGTAAATGGAAGATTCTGAATATGTACTATGTACTGGGTAGGGGGAGCATCCGTTCGTACAACTTGATTGATAGACGACACTTGAGGTAGTAAATTTTTCTTTTTGCTTCCAGGTGAATGCATTTAGAGAACGCAGAGCTCTTGCTTTGTCTTTGAATGATACAAAGACTGCTGTGAAGAAACTGCATCATATGTTGAATGTCCTCGTGGCAGTTATCATAGTGGTCATTTGGCTCCTTATACTGAGAGTTGCCAACACACATTTCTTGGTTTTGATGAGTTCCCAAGTTCTCCTGGTGGTATTCATGTTCGGAAACTCAGCCAAGACAACCTTTGAGGCAATCATTTTTTTATTCGTCATGCACCCATTTGATGTAGGTGATCGTCTTGAAGTCGAAGGAGTTCAGGTGAGAAACTTTTCCACTTTAAAACAATTGATCTGACTGTATTATCATTTATGTTGTAGTAAAAAAAAATCTGATATTTGCGTTCCAGATGATAGTCGAAGAGATGAATATATTGACGACAGTTTTCCTGAGATACGATAACCAGAAGATCATCTATCCAAACAGTGTCTTGTCTATGAAGCCCATAAGTAATTACTATCGCAGTCCACACATGGGAGATGCAATTGACTTCTGCATTCATATTTCCACTCCTATGGACAAGATTGCTGCAATGAAGGAGAAAATCACAAGGTATCTGCAAAGATGCATCTCCTTTTTCTTATTACGTACTTTATTTCAGTCTTGGCATGCTTTCCTTTACTCTTTTATGACGCAAAACACCAGAGGAATTGGATATTCTTATTCTTTGAAACATTACTACGACTGGGTGGCAATAAGGAACTCAAATTAGTATCTTGTACTATGACTTTATAACTTCATCGTAGTTTAACCAGTTGAAGCAAGTTACTTCCTTTGCGTTCGAATTTACCAACTCATTCTTTTGAACCTAAACCTAATAGTGTGAAAAATCTTTACATTGTCAGTAGATAAAAGCTTAACTCGTGAAAATGTTCCTTTTCACTTTGCATCCAAGCACAATCAAGAGAAACTGATTAATGTTTCTTGTATTTTTGCTTATCTCATGAATTGCTTTTGCAATGGCAGGTTTGTCGACAACAAGAGCGATCATTGGTATCCAGCTCCATTGATTGTAATGAGGGATGTGGAAGACTTAAACAGGATAAAATGGTCAGTGTGGCTTTCGCATACAATGAATCACCAAGATATGGGAGAGAGATGGTCAAGGAGAGCTCTTTTAGTTGAAGAGATGATAAAGATATTCAGGGAGCTTGATATTGAATACCGTATGCTGCCTCTTGATGTCAACGTTCGTAACTTGCCACCATTGCCATCAAGTAGAGTTCCCTCTAACTGGACAATTTGTGCTTAGTCAATCTTAAGATGACTGAAATGGTTGCCGGAGATATCTAATGTGGGGTGAATGCCAGTGAACTAGAAGCAGATTCAACGTATAAGCAGCAGGTGGACGACCTGGATGCATACACATTGTCTCTGATTCGAGCTATATACTTACAACAACCACATACCTAGTATTATCCCACACCGTGGGGTCTGGGAGGGTAGTATGTATAGAAAATTCAAAGTTGAATGTTAATATCTTTTAAGAGGTGCAATACCTCATGCTTATTATAGATAGTTTATCTGTACTTAGTTTTAAATACAGTCAAACTCTTTGTCATTCTCTATATTAGCAGTTCACTATAACATCCAAGTTTTCTTTGGAACCAATATTTCGTATTATGTTATAATATTTATTCTCTACAACAGTACTTCACTATAGCAGCTAAAAATACTCTGGAACAAATAAGGCTGTTATAGAGGACTGTTATAGAGAAGTTTGACTGTATTCAATGGTCAATAATCGGCTTCCCTGGTTCAAGGTTTTCACCTTCATAAATGAAGTGCATCAGTTCTATTGATCACCAATTTTTTGAGTAAGGGCTTCTAGAGTTGGTTGACCAAATTAAAGTGAGAATCCTAAATTTCATTACCAAGGTTTCTTTTTAGTCTGTTCGTACATAGTTGCATGTTTAGTGTACAAAAAATGAATCCATTTAAAAAAGCCAAGGAATATTGATTACTGTGGATGATTATAATGTCCTTGTATCCGACCTAAACAGCCAATGACTGGCGCCAAAATTATTTCGGCTTTGTCCAGCTGAAAATTACGTGATTTGACTTGACATCCTAAAGAAACACAACAGGTCGGTAAGTATCAATTCGCCAATTATATGTGCTAGTCATGTCAATATACTTTCTTTCCAATTTATTTGGTACAATTTTCTATTAGTCCATTAAAAACTAATATCAATTTTTTTTATATTTGAAAGTAATTAAATATTTAGTTTATTCTTGTCAATGGTCCCGTTGTATAAGAACAAAGGTGATGTCCAGAGCTGTAACAACTATAGGGGCATCAAATTACTAAGTCATACCATGAAAGTTTGGGAGAAAGTGGTAGAAATGAGAGTGCGAAGGACGATGTCTATTTCAGACAACCAG